ATTTCCGCCTGTCTTTGAGTAGGAAAAAGTGCAAAATCAAAGAAGCGATAAAAAAAATAATCTGAATGTGAACACATGATAGAAAACATTTGTAAGATTTCAAGAAAGTAAATAAAGTAAAACTCAGCAAAATTGTAAGCCCTTGATTTTTCCAGTTCTGCTTCATGGTGTCCTCTATATCTCTCTTTCGCAATATCATTACTGCAGCACAAAGGCCAAAGATATCGGGGCTCAAAGGCTTTAAAATTTACTGCTAACTCATTAAACGTGTTCAAAAATATAGAAACCCATCAGAAAACACTAAAATTTTGGAGACTGTATCCGAGATTAAAATCAGAAGTCAGAAAATATAAAGTGATGTTAGCATGAAAGAATACTATTGTTCTATTTTTATTTTTAAGCTTTGTATGACTATTGTTGGCTGTGCAGAATTCTGTATTTCTTCCAACTGACATATAAATAAACTAAACAAATGCCCACAAAAAATTATTAACAACATTGGAAAGGAACAATAAGTGTACTCCTGTGAGGATAATCCTCACAGTTCAGAAAAGCATTTGTTCTGATCCTAATTTGTTTGCAAATTTTTCTCATCAATATATGAATGTACCCTCCTTAAAATTGAAAATGGGCTAGAGAATGGGCCTAGCCTGAGCTATATATTTAAGAAAAGTAAGTGAATAAGTATATCTTTATGATCCCTTTCAATCAGAACTAGTATAAATTTCCACAGAGCTAAATAGTAAAGATTAACATAATGCTCAATGATTTAAACACAAATAGTATTTAAGTCTACGACTTGATGAAAATAAATATCGTCATACTAAGCAAAATTGTAACTCCCCTCCATATGAAATTGTACTCACCATGTGAAACGATCCAAGCATTGTAAGGTACGTTACGGAGAGATCATCCTCATCAATCTCCAAAGGAAAACTAACATCTACATCCAAATTCCATTTGTCCTTTAAAATATGGAGTCCCATTCCCAGTCTTATACAACCAATAAAAGACTCTTGCCATTCTTCTTTTGATGGGAATCACCTAAGAAGAAAAGAAATACAGATCTTCATCCATTAATATGATAAAACATATCAAAGACTTCAATAATCTTAGTTTAGCATAGATCAAAATTCAGTTTCAAAATTAAATCTTACCTTTCATACTTGCATTGTGGATATTGCAGAACAGAAGATTCAGCACCTAAGCTTTTATCAGTCATCCTTACATAATGTCAGAAGTTTGGTCCCAGAACTGTAAGTAGTGGACAAAGTGATTCATTAGAGAGAATAAAATAACTCTAGTCTCAGCTCATACTGTATAATTTCATAGCTCACCTCATCAGTATACTCTCACCACAAAGTAAAAGCTGAAAAGACCATCCCCAGGAAAGCAGTATACTTTTGATATGATGTCACAAGCAGAAAGTTCATCTGAAAGCAATTAAAATTAATTTAAGGCTAATGTTAGCAGCAATAAAGTATACTGTTCCATAATAATTACAAAATACTAATAATATTAGGTAAAAGTCAACATGTTTCATCTCTGTAACTTCAATGAATGATTAAGTTTGTGGTCTGATTTTTCTCCCTACAACCTAAGTAAATTATTGAGGAGGGGATGGATGTTACCCAGGGGAGTCTGCCGGACCAATCCAAACCAGTTCCAGCAATTTTCCAAATTCGCAAAACTTTTAAAAGACATTTCTAATGATAACAAATCAGCACCACAAAAACCATCAAAAACCGTCCTTTCACGCACCAAAGAGAGCTCCTCAAAGTCTGTACAGAGACAAATTGGACCAGCGTTGGTTACAGCCATGTCAACTCACCTATTCTTTAAGGTAAAATGACTCCATAGACTTCTTGGCTCATGTCATGAACATTTCTGGTCCGTGCTCCTGCAATCACATTAAACGGTACAATTAGCACTAATTTTTTTAAAGCTTGCTTTCATTTATTACTCAACAATCGTCAACTTATTAATTACATATAATTTACTCATACCACACACTTTTAAATGGCTCTCCCCCCCATGGTCTTTCAAATTAATAGTTTGGCACTGGACTGAAGCATTAAGTGTACGTAACATATCACTCGGCACATATGAAGACTGTGCACATCCACAATTATCAGGACAATAGTGGATAGGGCAGCTGAAAATTAGCTGCAATGCACATTGATAGCCCGCACCCCAACCAGAAGTAATACATTTTGCTGTTCCACAAGAATAATACAGAGTAACATGTATGATATACAATGATACACAAACAGTACACCCATTTGCAAAAGACCTACCACAGTAACATACAGCATGGGAGGGAGAAGTGTACCCTTTTAACACGTTTTCAACAAAGCTTACAGTGAGCCAAAGTATAAATAACGGGCATCATTTACTGTGCCTCCAAAAATTTACTCATACAATACACTTTTAAACGCCTCTTCCCCTATACTCTAAATGACCATGGTCTTTCAAATATCTAATTTGGAGCTGGACTCAGGCATTAAGTGTATGTAACATCCCTCTACACATATACTGTAGGCTGTGCACATCTCCCAGATACCTTCCCCACAGTTACAAGGGGCAGCAGCAAATTAGCTGCAACGCACCTTGATTGATTGTTTGGGGGATTAGGATTAGGCATTCAACAAAGCTTACAGTGAGCCAAGTTTACATCACGGGCATCATTTACTCGGCCTCAAAAATAACTGACAACTTGTGCATGTATACCCACTGGATAACCTCCTACAACAAAAACCGGAACAGAACAATTCTATATTCCGGACCGGAAACAATCGAGCACTATACCTTGCGATTAATGTCAAAAAAGCGGCGATGTCCGCCCTAAAATTCTGATTAGCGTCAAATGATCAATTAAATGAGTAGGTATTATCGGTATTGGGCAGAAGACACGCCGATTGTGACACGAATTGCGTTACTGTTTGTTAGTTTGTTTACGTTTCTATAAAGGCGCGGGAAATGCAGGGTGGGGAGGAGGAGAGGGGTGGGTGACGTGGCACGGCAAAGGGGGAGAGCGATAATTACGGCCTGATTACGGCAGAAGTTCTGTCTGATCGGACGACGACACTTACTGACATTTCGTGGTCGCGAGATGTGATTCTTTCCTGGGGTGAGCAATCCCGCCTCGCTTGTCCAGGATGTGATCCTTTGGGATGCCTCCCGTCCCGTGCATCGTTGTGTGGCTCCAGGGGGCAACGTCAGGGAAGTGCTGTGGATGTGACAATAATGAAATCATCAGGATAATAAACTATGAGAGTGTAAACGTGAGCTCACGCGTGAACTCACTCCCGCGTGAGCTCACGTGAACTTAACTTTACACACTCCAGAGGAGAACCGTGCGACGCGGCTATGCGAGTGGCCACTGTATTGACAAATCTGTAATTTTCAAAGACGAGCCAGAACGAAAAGAAAATAACAACAGCAGTTTCTTACCTCCGCGAGTGGAGAAATCAGAAACAACTGAGCACATGTATGCGAGAGCAGGGGGCTAGCAAGGGGTATCGCCGCTCAGGCGCTGAGGGTAGGCCACTATCTTCATACAGACACTTGGCGGGAAGGCCTACCCGACGTGCCGCAGGCGTTGTCATTCGGAATCGAAAAAAGTGGCTTGTGGACTTGCCCTAACCAACATTGTTTCTTTGAAACAAATTAAATGTAAGTTACAGAGATTAATCGATGGGTCCGGATTTCGACGGAGGAGTGTTCGAATCGACAGGGGTGCTTTCGTTCCGTCAAAAACCACCCCTGTCCACAGAAACTTGTGTTTTAAGAGGTGGTCTCTCGGACTATGGGCGGGTTGCCAGCTAAGGTAGTAGGAAAAGAGCTCTGCTCTAGTGGGTCGGCAACATGATATTTATACAGAGTAAGTAAAAGGAATCTGCCGGACCAATTCAAACCAATTCCAGCAACTTTCCAAAATGTCAAAATTTTAACACTACATTTATTACTAATCAGCCTGGATTTATACGGGCAAGGATTGAAATTGACAGGGAAGAAAAACCCACCAAAAACCGCCCACACACCAAAGGAAACTTCTCATACAGTCAGTACAGAGACAAACTAGACCAGCGTTGGTTACTGTCATGTCAACTCACCTATTCTTCCAGGTAAAATGAATCCATAGACTTCTTCGCTCATGTCATGAACATTTCCGGGCCGTGTTCCTGCAATCATAATAAACGGTACATTTAACACTTTTTTTTTAAAGCTTGCTTTAATTTTTCACTCTTCAATGATCAGCTATTAATTTCAGATAATTTATTCATATCATTTTTAAATGCCTCTCCCCCATACTCTAAATGACCATAGTCTTTCAAATAAATAATTTGGCACTGGACTCAAGCGTTAAGTGTACATAACATATCCCTCGGCAGATACTGTATGCTGTGCACATCTCCTAGATACCTTTTCCCCAAATATTAGGACAGTAGTGGATAGGGCAGCTGCAAATTAGCTGCAACGAAAATTGCTTGATTGATTGTTTAGGGGATTTCACAAATATAGAGCTAAGAACCTCAGTTGACTATGAAAGCCTGCACCCCAAGCAGACGTAATACATTTTGCTTTTTCACAAACATACTAGAGTAAATTATGTGATACAATAATGAACAAATAATAAACAAACAGTACACCCATGCAGAAGACCTAACCCTTACAAAGCTTACAGTGGCTCATGAGCCAACAGCGGAAGCCATACAGCACTATACCTGGCGATTAATATTAAAAAGAGACGCTGTCCACACTAAAATTAAATTTGGGTAGGTAATATCAGTACTGAGAAGAAGACGCCAATTTTTAACTGTTTATTTACGTTTCCACCACACAAAGGCGCGGGGCGGGGAACGCGGGTGGGGTGGAGGGGAGGGTCACCCCTTATTACCACTACTGCAACAACACGACAAGTATGTGCACCTTTGCGTAAGAAGCAATCTGTTCGCAAGGTGCGAACAAACGACAAACCAGTTTAGTTTGTTTATTTCATTGATTAAGGAATTTAAGTTAGTTTTCTTAAATTTGTTCGCAAAGTTAACATCAGGCGGCCAGCACTTGCCTATCCTGTTGGCTGTCTGCACTCAGCACTTGTCCATTTGAATGAATGAAATGAAAACATCACTAGGATAGATAGGTTTCTAGTAGACAAAAAAAAACTTAGAAGTGTATTGAGTGAAATTTGTGTAATTGATAGTTTTTCTAATTTTTTCTTCTATTTAATTTTCTAATTGTGGTACATGGCAACCCAGGTCTAGTAAGTAACCCGACCTGAGAGAATAAGTTAACCTGATTCAGTTCTTTGTACCCAAATATCTCCTGAAATATAGTTGTGCAGTGGATGGCTACAGTATTTTCATTTCTGAAAAAAGTTCCATCATCACTGACAACTTCTATAACTTTCTTCCTCCTTTTCTCTTAAAGGTTGAATGCATTCATCCACTCAATCATCTGACCATAGTCTGAATGACAGTGATATTCTGAAGATTCTTCTGAAGTTTTCTGACGTCAAATGTGCAGAATGGGAACCACAATTTCCCTTCTTGGATTCAACTGTAGTCTCCCAAGTCTCGCAGTCTGTATCACTTGTTTTTGGCAAAGACAAAGCAGATTTAAAAAAACTGATTGTGGTGAGTTTGTGGCAAATTATTTCTCTATATCATATTATAAGTTTTGTCATGAAACAATTGGGGATAATTTTCTCCAGCCATTGTTGAAGAAGTGGTGTACAGGACAGAATAAATCTCAGCTTCTTACTCACTCTGCTTGGGTTGGACGAACGCTGACAATGGAGGAGTGTGTATCATCAGTAATATCAGTGTGTATTCCAATTTTCAAAGATGAAGATGACTGGAATAAAAGGGATCAAGAACAGCAATTGGCTTTTGCATATGCCATTCTAGGCGCAGCTTTGAATTCCCCAACCCCATTGCACCCAGATGCTGGTGAAATTTGTCAATTGATTGTTGATAGAATATTCAAGTTACAGGAAATTGATAATCTTCATCACAGATTCCTATCCCACATCTGGAACTCAACTGGTAGGTCTCATTGACAAATCATAACATAAAGTTTGATTTTTAAATAATCTGCTTTGACATTTAAACACTTTGATTTGTCATGTGGTTTGGTATTTCAGGAGAACTCCATTTATCACAATCAACTCTAATAAATTTGGCAGAAAAATCATTCTTAGGGATTGAAAAAATGATACTCTGGCTAGGTCAAAGAGCAGTCAGTGGCAATCAAGCTGCAACAGTGGAGGCATTTCAAACTATTGTGGGATCATCTTTATTGAAGGTGTGCTCCCAATCGGCAACAGTTTTTCAAGTTAGTATTTTAAGTTCACCTTCAATCTAAAAGTGATGTTTCTTTATTTATCAACTTCACCCTAACTTAAGCAGTGTTAAATTTTGTGTTCCAGAATGTTTGTGATGTTCTTTTGCACATGATGGTAATCAGTGAAGCACACCCTGGGATACAATCTTTAACAAAGGCCTTTGTTACCGGGGTGGAAACAGAATGCAAGAGAGAAGGTACTGATGTCACTGTGCTTTATCGAGAAATATCCCAGGTACCATCCGCTCTTCTCTGTGTGGATCCGTCTCTTCTCCCAGACAATGGTAAGAATGTGCTTTCAAAAGAAACAGTCATACATCTCTTAAATGAACTGCCAAAGAAAGAAGCAGCATGTCTGCTTTCTCACAGACCATCCTGGCTTCTCTTTTTAAATTGAGTAAGCAATACTTACGCATTCTATTCCAAATTAAAATATTCCCTTTAATAATGCCAGTCTCAGATTGTAAGAAAACTGTGATACAAAATATTGAAACAAATGCGGATGGTTTTAATTGGAGAGTAACAATAAAATTTACACAAGCCGCTCAACCTTTCCATTTTATTATATACAATGCCGAAGTCAAGACAAAGTTTCGACTGTACAGTGTGGGCCTGAGACGTCCGCTCCAAACGCTCTGCTAAAACAACAACAACATAGAACAACAACGGAAACAACAAACTAACCAATCCAATTGCTTTGACAAAAGAGCCACTTGTAAAGGGCGCTCCATCAACATCAACCATCAAAGGTTTCATCCTAAGATGTGGTACTTTTCCTGTGAATGCTGGAAAACAGCATTCAATCAATCATGAATGTGGAGCACATAATGAAATAATTCGTCTTATGCTAAATATAAAATACTTTTCATACGCAAGGAATCAGACTTGAAAATAATGTCAATTCGAAACCTGAAGTTTTATACATAAAAAAAATTCATGTGGAGCACCCAATACTTAATCAAACATTAACAATGGACTTTACATAACTTCTCATTAATTATAAAATCACCATGGTATACATCAAGTGTTTTCGATATGGATCAACCTTTGTTTTGTGGACAAAACTCGCGCACTTGGAACAACATAACATTGAAATGGCTGGTAGATAGTGGTAGATGGATCTTTCTTGTAATATTTTGTAATAAATAAAAAAAATGGATGAGGTAGCTCTTCCACTTTCAGTTACTAGTGGAGTTGGTAATGTAATACAGAAATGATTTGTCAAATGATGCAGAGCTAAACATGGCAAATATATTTTTATTTTTTTCGGAGGAATGTTTGAAGTTTAGCATTCTACTCCTTTACCTCAGTACTGTTGTAAATGTGTTTTCCCAGAAATTTTCCTAAGAAAGGGGTTACCGATATTTTCCCCCCCAAAAAAGATTTGCTTTTGAAGATACTGGTGCTCACAGATTTCCTTTCTATACTGCATAGGCATTGGTTAGCTTCCTTGCTAAGTTATACCTTGGACCATCATGAAGTGCTGAGGCAAGACCTGCTTGCTTTGCACCTTAATATTGAGTGTTATACTTGGCATTATCTCAACGACTCCAAGTTTTAAAATGCTTTTCTTATCATTTAGTTTTCCATTTATTTATCCTTTCCCCACTAATATTTCTTATTCATCAAAGTATTTACAATATAAGTGTGAAATATCACAAGGGTATCATTGAATTGTAGGTAAGAACACAAATAAAGCTGCTTGGACTCTGCAGCTGGCAATACCACAGGTCCCGCTCTCTATATCAACACGTCACAGCAAAGCCCATGGTGAGCTTAAATACAGATTCCCCAATAATCCAAAGGCACAATATCGCTTCCAGCGCTTGCACATATTCCATTAAAGTTATAAGTCACAAAATACATTATTTCATTCATAAACATTCCAGCCACTTGGTGTCCATCACTCCAGTAATTAAACCATCCTTAAAAATGTAAACATTAGGAAGTTTAAGTTGTTTTAGATGTGACCACTTTAATTTTTGTTCTACAACCTTACCAATCAAGTCTTTGTGAGGTCATTACTAGGTTCAATAGGTTCGTTAATTTTGTTGAGTCCATTGGCCTTGCAAGATTTGTTGATTCCTTAAATTAAGTAAAGATAGTAAGATCCATAAAATTCAGGGTACTTTTAAGATTCAATGGCGTCTTAGTGTTTGTATGAAAAAATCAGATTCAAATTATGAAAAAGCTTAAGGAATTTTTTTTTTTAAATCACAAAATTGGAAAGTTTCCACTCTAATATCATTGGCGATTGTACCTTTATCTCTGGGGCTCTCTGCACCAGTCACCAAGCTTCTCTCTGACCCAAAAACTGCAATTTGTTTATTTGTGTCTGACTTTCCTAACATGATGTTATGCCCCATATAAATAGGAGGAATGTAAACAATAATCAACACACATAAAATTTATTAAATTGTAACAAATTTTCTTGATCAGTTAAAACTAGAATGAAAACTAGTATTAATAAAGGTTGGAATCTCTATAAATTACAGTATTGTGCTGTGAAGTTAGCAAATACCAATGATGTCTGGCAGGTGCCCTTCAATATTTCAATTAGGTAAGCCTCTGGAACGCCTAATATTCTGTAGCAAGAACGGTACAAAGATTTAAAAAAATTCTGTCCCCGATAGGATATTTTATTTAACTGTTTGATAACCAAAGTTTATGTATTTGATCAAACTGAATTTCCACACAAGGTTCAAGCCATAATTATTCACTGTTGGATTTTGAAGGTGTTTTGGCGCTAGCAAGAACAACCAGATTATATAAAATCATTTTCAATAATATGTTTTCCCAAGTTAAGAACATAGTACAAGCTGTGCCGAGTATATTTGCCCTCCAGGCATTGATCAAACAGCTGCAGTACATTAGATATTCACATAATTGTTCATTCATTGTGCATATTTTTATTTGAAGTGAATTTTATTTAAAAAAATTAACCATGGGAACCCCATACAAAATGTTTATATGGAACCTATATTCATGACGCCTGAACTTTGTAACTGAAATGTAAAATAAAATAAAACAATGGGGCTCAAGCCATTTCACAGCAGAGTAGGACCTTCACAAGATTTTTGTTTTCACAGTTTGTAAGCACAAGGTCCTTATACTTAGACACAAGAAATCAAGCTTTGCCATTTATCGGTCAGAGGAGTCTTTTAATGGATATGTATAACATTATGGAACTATATTCTAAACTTTCGCTCTCATTCGATGGACCTTTGGATTGGTTGGTGCTCTACACCTACGACTTATTGTGGCATATGGTGAGCGGGCGGCCGGCCCAGTACCGACGGGCTAGGAAAAGAAACAAAAAAAGTAATCATGGAGGAATGAAAGAGATCTGAACAATGGGTGTTTGTTATTTTGGAGCTAGACAAAGGCTAATCCAACCCTAATTATTTTGAAGCTTCACACAGCCCAAAAAATTATTAAGCACTTAAAACAGTGCTCAAAACTAATGTGTTTGTTTCTGTACAATAAAATATTCAACAAGAAGTAATGATTGAAACCTGTACCATTTTATCTATCCAATATGAAATTATTTTCTTAGGAAATAACATTTCTTTTAGCAGCAATAAAAACTCGGAGTGATTGAGTTCACTCCGGTTTCATCGTGAGCGGTCGAAAATCCTTACTGGTTAAGTACGTTCGTTCATTAGTGAATCCCACGCCGCAGTTTGTTTAATAACTAAGGACTTCTAGGGAAAAGGAAACCGCACTGTAAGTAGAAAATACTGCAAGTGCCTGTACCTGAATCCGCGACTACCGAGCCGTTTCCTTTTCTCGGCTAACGTAAAAAAGTGTCGACTGAAAAGTTTCGTACATGGAAGTCGCGTACCCAGCTACGCTTCTCAAAGTCGTTTCTTCTCACTCAGTAGTTCTAAGCCCCAAGGAGTCCTAAGGGCTGCCGGCGCCAAAAGGTGGGTCAGAGGATCTGGAGGTTTATACTCTTTTTCTCCCCTATTAGATTCGAAAAGTTTTTGGCAGGATAATTTTGCTTTCACGCACGCACATAATCACACAGTTTGCTCATCGTTCACTCTGCAGTCGCATACACACACACTCACACTTCCCACACGCACACGCTTTCACCAAAACACATTCCCTCACCTCTCTCTTTTACACACACGGTCGCTCTTCGTCAGACTTTGCACGTATGGCCACTCTTCCTATCATTCATAGTTTTCGCACTTTCGCAAGCATACACGTAAAAGGTGGCAGATAATGTAATCCTTTGCCTCCAGGACCGACCGACTTAGGGCCCCGCCGCTGACCCTCTGCTTCCTCTAGACTAAAATGTGACAGTAATACGCTAGATACCCCTTTATGGGAAACAAAAAGCAAAATAGTCAGGTTATTTTATTTTAAGAGACACGATAAAGGAACTCAGTAAATACTAGGTTTATTGTCGGTTTTACGAGACCTTTTTTTTAAGAGTCCCATGGCGTCTTCTAGGGAAGTCCCTCTCGAGGGGAGTGGGGACACGTTCGGGTCGCGCACGTAGTCAGCTCATTTGCTGGTAAAGGGATTGTCGAAATGGTTTGTCTGCGGCGGTTGGGCTCAGGTGGGGCGGCCAGGGAGGCAATGCGGCCGCGGCGCTATGGCTCTAAGCCCTATACTAAAACTGCATGGAAGTAGAAATATTACTACGAACAACTACAGGTTCTTAATTTGAGACTTTGAATAAGAAATGGGGGTTGAAAGATTGAGTATCTTTATCGTTTCTAGTGCTAAAATTTGTAGCATTGCGTTTTTTTTCATTATAATTATTAAATTAATAATGGACTGAGTTTCGTTTCAGTAAAAATTTGGTCGGAATTGGACGAAGATACGAAAAAATAATGTGGCTGACAAAGGGAGAGTATTTGTCCTGTGTTACGGTTTGATTCATGGGCTTGATTGTTAAATGATTATTACAAATGACAGTTTTAAGACGCGACTGATCAGACGAAAATGAATGTTTTAATCAGCAACAGATTATCGAGTGAAACAAGCAATAAGAAATAAATGCATACGTTATGAAAGTGAGCAATCAACAAGCGGAATTCCAGACTGCTGTCTGCTACTGTTTTACCCTTCATATCGTCCGCTTTCTTTAAAGTTAAAAGAAGAAAAGCAAGAAAATTTATCCTTTTTTTCCCTTCAAAAAGCTGTAGTTCGAAAACTGTCCTATTTAGGATAAAGTTTGTTTAAATGCTAAATCAAGTCTACGGAAAAGTACAAGTATATAAAGTTAGGTTCCTAGACGGGGCTTGTTAGCTGCGACTCTCCGCCTATTAGCGCTGTAAACAGGAGGTCACACTGCAGGCATGGAGACCTAGCCGTTGTTGACTAGCGCCAAAAGTAATTTTCCTATTGAAAATTCATCGCCATTCGCGCAATGGGCCCGCCTATTTACAGGGCGCTGGATAACAAATCCGATCAAGGCATTTTCGTCTTAACAGATAAGGTACAGATCAAGATAGAGACAATAGAGAAGAAAATTTGGGAGGGTATCTGACAATAGAACGCCTTGGCTACAGTCCTGTTCCGCTCTGAGGGACGGCCTACAGCCAAATTGGTTCGCCTTCACGCAGTCCCTCTTCCCGCTCGGCAAGCTCAAGACTAACAATAAAATATCGATTAAAGTAATCAGTTACGCAAAACATTTGAGTACTTAAAATGATCCATTTCTTTTAGAAATTAAGAGACTAGGAAATACCTGGACGTCTGCAATAAAAACTACTGGGTGGATAAAATATTGGTGGGCCGAGCGGAAGGCACACTCACTCTCTCATTCTCTCTCACACAGATGCACGCACTCGCACTCATTCACTTTCAGTCGTCTGTCTCTCTCTTACACACACGCAGTCGCACGCGCACTAACTTTGCCAGGCAGTGCAGTCACTGACCTTTCCTACTACCACCACTCTATCCAACGGCTTTAGCATTATGCATTGTAATTAGCGCGCTATCGAGGATGCGAGTTAAATGCCTACCTCCTCTCGCGTAGCTCGCTCGGTATGGGGCGCCCCAAAGTGCGCACCTTTTTGTAATACAGTTTCTTTAGCATGCTAGGCTACACTTGATGCGAAACACAAGTATCAACCGAAAATGGATGTAGTCCTTTCAATAGTATCACAATGAAATATTTCCTATTTTAAAAGTGAGCATGACATCAGCTACATTAGATTTTATATGAAGACTTGTGAGTGCTCAACAAACGACCACGATTCTCGTGACCACCCTACCGATAGCGCCTGCAAACGCGCTGGGTAGGCCGACCCACCAAAGGGGTCGTCCATAAAGTACGTCCGTCAGTCGCCTTGACGAATCTGCTAAGTTCAGCCTCTGCAAGCTTTCATAACGCCTGGTATGTAGGCAACATCTTGCCTGTAGTGCATGCGCGTACGGCGGGGTGGCCTACCCCGAGTCTCGCAGGCGCCAAGCTCTCGTAATTTGCCGAAATGAAGCAGTGGAAAACGGACGTACTTTCTGGGCGATCCCAAAGCGTCTGTGCAGTGCAGGGATGCCCCCCCCCCCCCTAAGCGCCTACATTGGGTTTTGGGCTCGGGCGTTACGCTCTCAACGTTCCCTGTTCGCACAACTTGGGAAATACAGTTTGGCGATAAATTTAGACACTTGCTTTAGACAGTAAAATGTTAAAACTGGCAGTGTAGCAATGGATCCTCCACCCATCGCGTATTGAAATGAAACGAAGGGAAGACCTGCATTTCCGAACTAAAGCGCCGTTTTTTGAAGTGAACTGCTAGGTACCGTAGGGAGTGTGGCGTGGATTCAGTCAGTGACTACACTATCCATGCAAGATGACCCAACCCGTAACACGTCAGTTCTCTTTAGGATACAACACGTGAAGCGGGATGCTAGTCTCTTGCACCGGTAAGGAACGTGGTAACTGAAGCGTTAAGTAGCCGGACTTGCGGGTTTGTCTCTGCGAGTAATAAACGTTTCTCAACTAAAATTTTAACCTGACACTACTCTCCACCGACAGAGGAACTGGGGACGTTTAATTTGTTTCGACACAAAGGTGTGCCAAAGAATCACAGTTTGGTACAGAAGCGTCTTCTGAAGGTGAAAACATTAATTTTTTCTCCTATAGTTTGCGGACCCTAGAACATTTTTCTTAACAGTCAGTCACCCATACGATTTATGTTCACAGAGAAAACCAGCCATGTGAAGCACAATGTATGTATAAAAAAAAGGTCAACATCAACAAGAACTAAATTCAGTAATAACAAACCTTACTATGAACTGAAAGAGTACCGGTCACAGTCTGAACATGAGCAAATGCCCCGTCTTGGCTCTGTCTGCTAGCACTCCGAGCCTATTTCTCCATAGCATGCCCTGAGAACACAGCCCTTGCCCTCGCACGCCTCCGCTGCCTTTCGCAGGCAGTGGGGGATTAGGGCTTCTGTATTTTGGACTTCGGCATCGAATGACGCAAGAAACTGACAATAGGAGCCGTAGGATGATTTACATTGCGTACCGTTCTTAACTGAGGAACATCGAACAGGTGTATAAACCGACCGTCAATTTTCTTTAAATCGTGATAAAATTGTCACTGTTACTCAACTTAGGTTTTTAACTCAACTAAGTTTCGTAGGAAAACTATTTTAACACGGTTTAAAAGAGAACTTTCCGAAGGGAGCCAGAAGCCTGCTTTCACGCACAGAAAAAGAACTGCCGAATAGGGCGATTCACAAACTTCTGAGACTGGAAACGACATGAGGTAAAAAGTTGTGAAGATGTGACAAGCTGGAAAGAAAAAGGTGCCCCCACAATGCGATTCGCCGCGCCACGACCCTTGTGCCATGCTATTGTGGCCATGCACCGTGCTCTGTGCGCCTTTTCGTAGCGCTATGAATCCAATGAACTTATTTAAGCTATTTTACCATAAAAATCGGTGAACGCCGGGTGCTAGACCCGAGTGCCACATAGGGGGCTGTCAAGTCAAGCGCGCCTGCCCCTACTGCAAGGGTCGGGCGCAGGGGCACTCAAAGACGGTGGTTTGGCGAATATCCATAGCATTTCGATTTATGTACCATAAATCGCGATTTAAGGTACATTGACAAAATTAAACGGCAAAACAGCATGCCGATTAATCATACTATCTCTTTCCGGTTTGTCACTTTCTTGACATCTTTTTACCATTCTTGTTTCTGGTGAGAGGTTTAAGTGAAATACCCTATACGTTCGAGATCAAATAATCCATGTCAAGACAAACTACATTTCTTAATCAAAACATACCAGTTACACAAATTATGATGCTTGTTCAGACGTTACAAGATAATTCGCAAACAGC